AAAGTAAAGATCCTTTTCACACCTTAGGTGCATCGGGCATATGGGAAGAGCGTCCCGTATTTTTACAGACCAATCAGCACTGGATGGGTAATGTGGTCAGCATTACGCCGGCCGTCTTTACTTCTCCAGGACAGCCATCCTGATACCCATTTTAGGCTGGGTCGACCTGCGACGCCCCATACCATGATAAAAATCCACGCAGCCAGCAGTGGGTTTCGATCGCGGTACGTTGGATTACGAATCGGACTCGCAACGCCTTAGCCACGGGCGCCGCTTTAATTTTAACAAACCCTAATTAATCGCATTGTACGACATGCTTATTAAGAAGCATTAGGACTAACCACCCCCCCCCCTTTTTTTTTTCTTTGAACAAATGGGATCACGGAAACCACAATTGAGATCTGTGGCCAAGTATGCTGGTTCACCAACAAACCCACTCACCAAAATATCTTCTTCATGCCCAGAGTTAATGTTCATGTGTTTATTTTACAGATAATGTTAGCCTTACTGTCCGCTGTGCCCAGTCTCTTTACTTCCATGGAATCGGTCATACCTGCTTCAAGATCGCAGATACTCAAGGCGATCCTAAACAACAAAGTGTAAGTAGCTTTTCTGTGTCGTTTTTATTGGACAATATTGTGCATATCATACCTCAACATCCAGCTTAAGAATGGAGGTAGTGGTTGCCACATTAGTTTTCCGCTAGTAATAAAACATGACAAAAACATACACACCACAAACACACACACACATCGTGATTGTAACTAATTCAGAAAGCATGCTGAGCTAGGGAGCTAGGTAAGAACAGGTATGCTTCACACAGAGTGGCATGCTTCGCTTCGGAGGTCATGGCTAAGTGAGCTAGGTGAGAACAGGTATGCTTCACACAGAGTGGCATGCTTCGCTTCGGAGGTCATGGCTAAGTGAGCTAGGTGAGAACAGGTATGCTTCACATAGAGTGGCATGCTTCGCTTCGGAGGTCATGGCTAAGTGAGCTAGGTGAGAACAGGTATGCTTCACACAGAGTGGCATGCTTCGCTTCGGAGGTCATGGCTGAGTGAGCTAGGTGAGAACAGGTATGCTTCACACAGAGTGGCATGCTTCGCTTCGGAGGTCATGGCTAAGTGAGCTAGGTGAGAACAGGTATGCTTCACACAGAGTGGCATGCTTCGCTTCGGAGGTCATGGCTAAGTGAGCTAGGTGAGAACAGGTATGCTTCACACAGAGTGGCATGCTTCGCTTCGGAGGTCATGGCTAAGTGAGCTAGGTGAGAACAGGTATGCTTCGCACAGAGTGGCATGCTTCGCTTCGGAGGTCATGGCTAAGTGAGCTAGGTGAGAACAGGTATGCTTCACACAGAGTGGCATGCTTCGCTTCGGAGGTCATGGCTAAGTGAGCTAGGTGAGAACAGGTATGCTTCACACAGAGTGGCACTCTTCGCTTCGGAGGTCATGGCTAAGTGAGCTAGGTGAGAACAGGTATGCTTCACACAGAGTGGCATGCTTCGCTTCGGAGGTCATGGCTAAGTGAGCTAGGTGAGAACAGGTATGCTTCACACAGAGTGTCATGCTTCGCTTTGGTTGTCATGGCTAAGTGAGCTAGGTGAGAACAGGTATGCTTCACACAGAGTGGCATGCTTCGCTTTGGAGGTCATGGCTAAGTGAGCTAGGTGAGAACAGGTATGCTTCACACAGAGTGGCATGCTTCGCTTCGGAGGTCATGGCTAAGTGAGCTAGGTGAGAACAGGTATGCTTCACACAGAGTGGCATGCTTCGCTTCGGAGGTCATGGCTAAGTGAGCTAGGTGAGAACAGGTATGCTTCACACAGAGTGGCATGCTTCGCTTCGGAGGTCATGTTTTTATTTTTATTATAAAGAACAGGAGAATATAAAGGCCTATAAATTGTGTAAGCCATAATAAATATTACGATCTAACATGACTTGCACTGTGTTTCTGCCCTCTCCTGGTCCATTTTTAATGTGTTCCGAGTAATAAAATCTTGTTCATAAGAGCCAGTCTTTTTTTGGAAGGGGTTTATTCTATATCAGACGTTCATAACAGTCCACACAAATGACTTAGAAGCTCACGTGTTCCAACAGAGGGAGCTTCATTATTGAGACACTCAAACAAGATTTATATACATTATTCATTTGGGGGCGATACGCTCCACGGTCGAAGATAAACACCGGAAGCATAGCAATATTTCTACAGGTACTATCGCCAGAATATTCCACAAAGTGTTCAAGATTTTTTTTAATGTGTTGTGACACATTTTTATTTCTTTTTTTTTTTTCTTTTTTTATTTTTTACTTCTTATTTAATGTCGAAATATGAGATGAAACTTCTTTTTTTTTCTATACATCATTATTCTGTATCGTTTACATTGATACTTTCAATACTTTAATGGAATCAGTCATAAACAATAGGTATAGCACAAAATATAGGTCACTAAACAGTTTTTATTTTCAAATCAATGGAAGGCTTCTCCTTATAAAAAACAACAACAAAAACCAGCTGGAGCGCAGTCCATCAAAAAATGTTTTGAGATGCGTTTCAGGAAGAGTCCCAACGACAAAAAGCCATGTTTGCATATTTCATAAGTCTAGCTTTTCTCACGCCTGCAAAATCACAAATTTAGTTCCTTTACATGGACATTGTAAAAAAAAATAAAAATAAAAACATTGAAACTTTTACCTCAAAACTGTCAATATTGTAAGGACGGAAACCAACAACTGTCTGTAAACAATTGTGCACAATATATGAGCTGCAACCAATGCTAATTAGTTCTTTACCCAACTTAGATTGAAGCTTTTGCCCAGCATTATTTTTTCCCATGCCTGTTAACACCACCATAATTCTTGCTTGTATTGACGGCTCAAAGTTCTTCAGTCTTATCCTGCAAACCAAATGTTTCTATTAACTTTTCTAACAATAAACATTGAAGTTCCGAGGCTATGCCTGGCATGAAAGAGAGTTCATTTATTTTGTATTGATGCCAATACTAGAACGGAAGCTGTGTCTAGCACGGTATGATAGGCAAACGACTTCAATAGCAAAACTCGTGTCGATTTCCCTCTTATAAAAAAATTTGCTACATTGATGGAGCGACATTTAGATTTGTCGGCGTCGGTTCGCTGTTGGGAACGAGTTTGTAAGTTAATATTGCTTCTTCCACCATGAAGCACTGAGAAACGAACACCCAGTATGATATACACAAAACGCAATTTGTCTTTCGAGTTAATTTAAATTCCTTCTGCTGAAATTCATTAAAACTAAAGGCACATGTTTTGTCGGACATTTTAACCGTTACTCAATCACCATTGTCTTACACTGCGCTATACACACTAACATAATATTCTTTTCCTTCCTTAGCTTTCCGAGCCCTTGAGGTTTATTTCTGCAGATATCACCCACCTGCATCATCTCTCTGGTTGGCCTTCACTTTCCAGTTGGTGACACAAAGTGTTTGTAGGTCTGTCAGGATATTGTCTCTCCGTGGTTTTCTTGGTCTGCCTCATTTGTTTACTACCATTCAGCGACCTTATGAATACAGTTTTTAACTTCTCTGTCACCTAACATTATCTCAATATGCCCCAATTATTTCAGTTTATTAGCTTTCATGATGTCAGTGATTAGTGGTATTTAAACAGATTATGAATTTCGCTGTTGCTTCTCACTCTCCATTCTATGCTGTCTGCATCTTTGATATGTCAAAAGATTCGTCCTAAGATTTGTTTTCAGAAATTTATAATAAGGCTTCATTTCTTTTAATTGTGCTGGAAGTTTCAGACCCATGTAAAACGACTGGTCTTATCGACGTCTGATATATTTTGATCTTGGTGTTGCGAGATAGGGACTTTGACTAAAGCAGATGTTAAAGGACATGACATTCATTATTTCTAGAGTGTATTCTAGACTGTATTTCTTCTCTCAGCATGTTGCAGCAGTTGAAGTTTGCACCCAAGTACTTATATGTTTCCGTTCGATTAATTGTCATATCATCCATTTGAATGTGGCCAGAGTTTACATATTTTCTCAGCCTTGATTTCATCACTTATCTTGATTGCTAACAATTCAATTTTGTGAGCTGCTTTTTTTAAGAGAGTTGGTGCTTTTACTGTCTCTAGTTTATTTTCTCCAACGATTTAAATGTCATCTGCGTAACCAAGTATTCTTGTAGTGCCTTTTGTAGTACACTCTTGTTTCAATTTCCTTATAATTTTCTTTGGGGCCAAGATGAAAAGTGGGGACAGAGCATCACCTTCTTTTACACCAGATCTTGTTTGAAAACGTTCAAAAGAGTCTGGCTGTCTTCCTTTATATGTTGGAACATTATAAGTGTCTTCCATACATATACAGGTCATAGTGATTAACATCTTTGGTATTCCAAAGTCCTTATTGAATTCTATCATTTATTTAAAGAGTGTATTATTATAAGAAGCAGTCTCCCTTCAGAGACTGCGTCTGCTACTATTCTTTCTCCAATCGAATATGCATTAGCCATATTCACCGTAGCGATACTCAGATTGAAAGACTGGAAGAAGTGCAAAATGAAGCAATGCGCATTATTCCGGGGTGCACAAGAGACACCTCTTGCGTAGTAGTGAGATATCTCCTTGACTTGCCGACAAGGTTGAAGATGTGCAGGACTCGTGCATACCTGAAGATAAGCTCGGATTTGAAGCACCCTCTGCACAGTTTTTTTTTTTTTTTAGGAATAAGGGCAACAAGCTAAAAGGGGGCAAATCAAGGCTCGGTAGAGCAGAGGACGATATCATGCAGGTCTTAAGTCTGAAAGACATCAACCTCGGCGAAGAATGGAGACATGTGAACCATGTGCTCAATTGCACCTTTTCCTGTGTTGTCACGCTTGACAGGAGCTGTCTGGAGCAGAATCTGGTTGTTTTGAAAGCAGAGGTCCACGCGCTTGTATGTGAAAATTCAGATGGGGCGGATGCGGATGTACTAATCTACCCAGATGGGTCCGTTGTAGGAGGACAAAAATGTTCATGGGCATTTACAGCGTGTTCTGCAGGTAGAACAGTCCAGAAGGCCAGTGGTGCCTCCTGTATGACTACTAGCAGCAAGACAGTAGAGGTGATGCGATAACACGAACTTTCTTTCATATGGCTAGCATTGCAGGGCTATTCTCACGTGTGTGTGCTGTGTCATTCTATGAGTATGATCCGGCGGGTCGAGGCGGGCTTTGTACACAGACAGTGGATCGAGTCACTGCAAAACCCGTGCGTAGAGTTACCTTAATTTGTGTCCTATGGCATGCGGATGTTGTCGACAATGAAAGAGCCGACAGATTAGTCGGCTCTGCTTTAGTTAGAGAGGGCCGGCCCGTGGACATTGTTAACATTATTAGAGAGGTAGGACGTTTAGAGGATTTCGGGAGCAGCACATCTACATCTTTGCTAAAAGTGTGAGAATTTGGAGTTAAGATCGGTACAGCCAAGCACGAGAGCACATCGGACGCAGGAGAGGTCTTGTCAACCAACATAGGACTGGGATGATCAACCGCGGGACATTGATGTTGAAGGGGGAATCTGAGCATCTATGGACGTGTCCGGAGTGCCATGAAAATAACCTAA